TTTTTTAAAAATTGTGAATTTACCGGAATATTGTCAATGATCGGGTGGGCATCAGTTTCATGTACAGGGGAAGCCTGTCCATAGCCCTGATTAGGGCTCTTCAACCCACGTGATTGTTGATAATTTTCCTTCATTTTCGCACGAAGACTCTTAGCTTTTGTTGGCATTATTTAAATTCTACAAAAAAAATAAAAAATAACATTTGTAAATTGAATTTAATATACAAAATTAAAATTTGGTCGGAATTGGTATCGGAATTACCGTATTTCCTAAAATAAAGCCCCATGCTAAATTAGTGCCCCCACACTAAAATAGAGCCCCACTAATGAGAATAGTTGAAATATAGAGCCCCATGCTAAATTAGAGCCCCACCCTAAAATATAGCCCCACCTCACTTTTTAAATATACTTTTATCCCAAATCGGTAAACAAAGTGTTATTTTGTATTATTGGATTTGGGAAATATTGAATGAGGCAAATGTGAAGGGATTAAAAAAGATATTGTGATATATCTGTGAGTAAAAGCGATATAATCAAATTTAGGCATTGAAATGGATATCGTGGCAATGGGGAATTAAAGAAGAGTTGAAGGAATTAAATGGATACTTTTCTTCGATTATATGAGGGAAAAAATGATTATTGGATATTAGGTTATTTTAGGGCAGAAATTTTGATAATTTTAGACAAAACCTTCAGTCGCGTAGAAAGTAAAGAATAAATAATTAATATGGAAAATTCAAAAATGAAATAATAGCTCATTCGACTCGGCTCGTCGAGCTGAGTCGATGACACCAAAATCAGCTCGATACCTTGATTCTGAGCCAAGATAAACAGGTTAAAAATGGTCAACATAAACCTATGGGGCGTAGGCGAGGCGCTTGTGCTCGCGGCAGGCGCCTCGCGGGGCGTCAACGGTCGCTGGGTCTGGGTCGGTAACATAATCCTATTCCTATCATCGATGAGTTGGGCATACTTGGCTTCTTCAGCAGCACTAAAAAGTACACGTGCGCCTTAGGTAAGGAGCTAAAAGAAACGATCATAACTTTGTCCAATAAAGTCGGATTTTGTGATTTTGGTGTTATTGGCTATTATTTGCCTTTTCGAATTTTTCACCCCAATATAAGCTTACTACCCCCTTCTCTTTTTCAAACTTCAGGGGTCTTTAACTCGGTCCCTGATTGTCGGATCGACTTCTTCCCCAATGGGATCGACTCAGCTCGGCGAGCTCTTTCGAATGACACATCATTTGTCGAAATCGGTCGAGCTAACAAAAACCCCCTATAAGTCACAATACACAAAATTTTAATTACTTAATTTAAAAAAATCCAGCAAAATTTTGTTTTCATGTTTGAACTCAGCTCGGCGGAAAGAAACAAATGCTATTAACTTCGAGTTTCGATCTCGGTGGCTATATACTATAACTATTAAGAAATAGAATCAAGATGAAAAAAATTAAAAAAATTAATTTAAAAAAGAATTAGAAAAGAATTCATGACTAAATTTATTTAAAAGGTAAATAAACATATGTAAATGGCGAAAATAAAAAATAAGGTTGATATTAAGATTGAAAGGGCAAATTTGAATTTTTTATTCTTTCAAACTATATAAGGAAAAGAAAGAAATTGAGCTTTGAAAATATGCCTTTTTCTCTTAATATCAACATTTTTTCTTTTCCAGAAAAATGATATTTTTCTATTTTTTCGCGTTAGGCTATTTTCTATTTTTTACGCTGTTTCTATTTTTTTCTATTTTTTCGCGTTAGGCCTGATAATGCAGATTTTCTAAACATAAGAAAAGAAAGAAGAAAAAGTTAAAATGAAAAGAGAAAAAATAATTTTTGTAAAAATTTTTTAAATTTTTTTGTTAAGTTTATCAATTATCAAAAACAAATTTATTTAAAAATAATTACTAATTTATTGTCGTCCTGGTGGCTCTCTTTTAACTAAATCAGAATCAAGAAATTTTTATTTTGGATAAATTTTAGGCCCTTCCGGTTTATAATTTTCATGATAACATCGCCAAATTTCAGAAATATGTTTTGGGCATGTATTAAAAAGTACATGGATGAGCCTTGAACTTCACAAATACATTGGTTTAAAAGAGAAAAAAATTTTGTAAAAATTAATAGTATTTTATAAATATAAATAATACTGCCTATTTCTTGATGTGTCATCCATTCCAAATCAAAGGGAACTTCTCGACCATCCCCTGAAATATTTTAAATCCCCTGAAATATTTTTTGAAATATTTTTTTGGGCCGTAAATTAATCCTATTCCAATTATCACTGTGATGGGCATGCCCGGCTTCCTCAGCAGCAGCAAAAACCTCCACAGAGACAATAGGTAAGGAGTTAAAATTGAATATTCGAATTTTTTATTCCAAAATCGAGTCTACTCCCAACTATATTTTTTCAATTTTTCGGGACCTATAACTCGGCCCATACCGAGCTGAGTCGAATGACATATAATTTGTCCTACTGGTACGTACCATTTTAACCGATACTTCTCAATCCCGAAAATCACGGATCTCGAAGTTCGACTTCGAAATTCGACTTTCATCTTTATCCGTTATCCCCACGAACTTTCCTCACCTCCAGCTCTTGAACTACTAATCACTCACGCAAATTTCTCAATCCCGAAAAGCCCAGATTTCGAAGTTCGAACTCCGAACTTCGACTTTTGTCTTTATCCGTTATCCCATTGAACTCCCCTCATTATCCTCTTTCGAATGACTACTCATTCGAGTATAGTTAAGAAACCCGAAAATCATGGATCCCGGAGTTCGACTTTGCTTTGGGTTTCTATATTTGCTTCAACTTACCTTGCTACAACTCGAAGCTTGCTTCAATTTCAAGTTTCAACTTGCTTCCACTCGAAATTTTACCCATCAATCACAATTTCTCTCTCACCTCTATGATTTGCCCTCAGGAATTCGTCATTTCCGACAAATGTGAAAATTCACCGAAATCCGGATTTTTATAGACGCATATCTACTTTAAACTTGGAATTTTTTGCTCGAGTTTTTTCCTACATATATCTACATGTTCCAACTTGAGTCCCTCCCAGCGGAACTTTTCCGCGATCTTTATCCATTTCAGAGATATCCTCGGTACTTAAGCGATTTAGGTACCGGGGGCAATTCGATTGCAAAATCCGTATTTTTCCCAGATGCCCCATTGAATTTGACCCCGGACATGTAAAACTTTCAGCCCATTATCTCAACTCTGTAAAGACTTCTAAATTTTGGCAGCTCAATTACGAAAACTTTCTTGAGAATATATAATAATGGACAAAAGCGACACAAAGTCTAAACAATAGTTTACCCAAAAATCGTAATTAAATTTCCAACTGCTTTTGAAATTCTTTCTTGAACAAATAATTCTCCTATAGGGCAAAAAAGTTCAATTTGCAAGGACTTTTGATTGAAATGCATATAACAACTGCCCTCTATACTCCTCGAAATTAATAAAAATAAAATAATTTTTCCTACCAAATCCTTATTAACCTCTAAGGCTTTGTGATAAGATTTATTCGCATCGTTATTTTAAATTTTTATTTGATTTAAGTAAAAATTTTAAACAATTCTAATCATTCTTTTCCCTTCAAATTAAAATTTTATTTCAAAAAATAAACTTGTGCTACCACAAAAAATTAAAAACATTTTATTACAAAATAGAAAAATCAAAGAACGAAGAAAAACATTAAAATCCATTTGAAAATAATTTTTTTACAAAAGTTTAAAACAAGTTTTCTTTACGTTTTGGCAATAAACAAACAATTTTTTATATTTTTAAGTACTTTAGTGCTCAAATAATTCTTTGAAAAAATACTAAAAATGTCATTTATTTATTATATTTTGATTATTTAAAAATTCCAATTAAGTTGGATATGTATTTAATTAATTTAATTATTAAAAACAGAATATAAAATTGAAGAACTCCAAATATAATACAAATCTTAAATTATTTAATAAAATAAAATAATAAAAAATTATATTTCCGTTTATTAATTTACCGTATATATTTACTCTATTAATTACCCTGGGTAATTATTACTTCGACATCTCTCTAATTGATAAAGACGGGGTAATTAATAGAGATTATTTTAGGAAGGCTAATTAAAACTATTTTAAGGGATAATTATTGTTTTACTTTTCGCTGGAGAGGGTAACTAATAAATAGAGGTGGGGTAATTAATTGAGGGAGGGTGATTAATAGAATATATACTGTAAATTTATTTTTATACAAACAATCTAAAATATTTCTGGTTTTTAAATGCTCTATATAATAATTAATTAATTATTATATAACTAGCTAGCTAAATAAAACAAAACATGTTTGTCTTCATTTATTGTTTTAAATATTAATTAAAATTATTCTAGTTTTGTTTAAATATTTCTAAACACGTTTTACAAAGCGAACAAATTACCTAAAAATAAATATTTAAAAGAGTTCTTCTTCCTCTCTTATTTCTAAAAACATTTCTAATATTTCATTTCTTTTGTGCGCAACTCTTCCCGATCATTTTACGTTTTTACCTTAAAATAGTTTGTTTCTTTTTGGATTATTTTTAGAAAAAAGAATGAATCGATTATAAATTGTTTATTTTATTAAATTTTTATTTTTTCGAAAATAAATTGTATTTAAAATAATAAGACTCGTACTTGTACTCGTACTATGTACCATGTACGAGTACGAGGTACGAGTACGAATTTTGGTACGAGCTTCGAAGCACTGGTTAACATATTACCTTATTTATTTTAATAGAATCACTGTGGTTCTATTTTTCAACCTCCAATTTTGTGTGGTTATATTAGAGACTGTGGTTCAAATAGAGACTGTGGCTTTATTTTTCAATCTTTTTTTTTTGAAAAATAGGAAAAATATTTCCAATCCAATACAAATTTTTTAAAATTATAATTCGATTATTTTGCCACTAATATTAATTCCAAAGGTTCTTTAATCCTTTCATTTTTCAGATAAAAATAAAATTCTAAATAAAATGGTCTACTCTGTTGATTTATCTGTATTATTCTTAATTTCTTTTTACATTTTATTTATTAACCAAATTAATTTATCAACAGCATTTTCTGACAAAAGTATTTGTGGATTGGGTAGATAAAATTAAATTTTAATTTTTAAATCCAATTAATTTATATAGCAAAAGATAGAGGAAATAGTGAATGTGGAGCTATTTCTGAGAAAAGATTTTATTTCGATTTAATTACAAAAAGATGTCAACCTTTCCTTTATCAAGGTAGGAAATATAGTTGAACATCATTAAAAGATATCCTTAATTCGAGATAAGATAGATTTTTAAGATTAGGTTGCCCACTGGGTAAGGGTGGGCAATAACTATTAGATAAGATTTTTTCATCGATAATTAAAAATGAGGAAAAAACTGTATATTTAAAAATTTAAATAAATAGTAAGAGTGAGGTAAAAGATTACTCCCGGGCAGGCTTCGATCCTGCGACCTCGTGGCAGTCATTGCTAGGCGCTTTCGCTCACCACATACAGGTGCTCTACCAACTGAACTACTGGGACGCTGCTTCATTAATAAATCTTAAGCCCCCGCCTAGTGAGCGTTTTAAATGCTAGCCAGCTGGATCTTTCTCTTCCTTATAATATAAAAAAATTTTTATTCAAAAGGATGCGGAGGAAACGGAAATAAATTTAATTCTTTAACTGATTGTCGAGCCCTTTGTTCTGATTATGAGCCAACAGTTGAAAGTTCTCACGAGGGAGGAGGGCACGGAATGGCCTTACCTGTCCGTATGTATTTTTATTTATTTTTTAAAAATTCTTTTTATTTTAAATAGCTAAATGTGAGGGGAATGTTAGAGCAGCAGTTGATTCTGAAGCGAGAGTAATTAAATGCCCTTCGGATCAGTGTCCAGATAATTATGAATGTAGTGAAAGTAAATGCTGTCCGGCAAATAAAAGTTTAAAAAAATTAAAAAATTAAAATTAAATAAATTTTAGAAATTGTTTGTAATGTGGAGTATGATACTGGACGTTACGCTTTCCAAGGATCACATACTCCAGTAATTTTAAAAATTAAATAAATTAATTAATTTAAATTTAAAGAGATTTTTTTATAAAAAAGAAGTAAATAATTGTTTATTATTTACTTATTATGGAGCTTTGGGAAATGCTAATAATTTCGAGTAAGTATTTAAAATAATTAAAATAAATTAGAGTATAATTTATTTTTTAGAACATATAATGATTGTATTAAATATTGCAAAGAATAATGGAGAGAGAATAAATAATATAAATATATTTAATTAATTAAATATATGTATTAGTGTTTCACCGGAACCGAAATTTTGACCGGAACCGGAACCGGAACCGGATCCAATTTAAGTTCCGGTTCCCGGAACCGGAACTTTTCTAAGTTCCGGCCCGGAACCGGAACCGGAACCGGAACTTTTAAAAAATTTTGCTAGCAAATTTTAAAAAATTTGTTTTTCAAGTAGTGGTGTCGGTTTCGCCAAATTTTTCGATTAAATTAAGCCAAATTCTTCGGTTAATCGAAACCGAGCCGAATAACCTAACCGAAACTTTCAGTTAACCGAAAACGAACATAAAAACCTAACCGAACAATCCAAATCCCCTGCTATGCCAAATACCTCACCAACTTCATGATACTCACATAATGTAACTCAAAATCCATCTTCATCCATCCAAATCCCCCGATATACCAGCCAACTTACAAAAATTTTGGGATTTTAGGTGAAACAAGGATACATATTTCTTCCTTTTTCAGCGCCGCAGGCGAAAATTTTGAGAATTTGTGTGGACAATGAGCTAGATTTCTTCGTTTTCTGGCGCCGCAGGCGAAAATTTTGAGAATTTTGAAAGGCCAACCGGTGAAAATATTGCAAGGCCGACCCATATTTTTTTTAAAAAACTAATCCTTAGGGGTGTAAAAAAGTTCCGGTTTGCCCGGAACCGATTTGTAAACCGGAGCCGGAACCGGAACCGGAACCAATTAAGGAACCGGAACCGGAACCAGTTCCGGTTCCCGGAACCGGAACCGGAACCAAAAAAACACCGGAACTTTCCGGAACCGGAACCGGAACTTCCGGTGAAACTCTAATATGTATCATCGAAAATAATTTTAATTAATGAATAAATGAGCTTTGAATTAATTTTAAATTTTTTAAAATTTTTTATTGAAGGAAATAAAATTAAATATTAAATTTAAAATATAATTTAAAGAAAAAAATACGGAAAAGGAAAAAAAGAATTAATAAAATTAAATAAATTATTTGTGAAACTTATTAACATTGTGAACCTTATTAAGATTTATTCACATCATTATTTTAAATTTTATTAATTTGAGTAGGGTAGCAATCCGACCTTTCGATGTCGGGTATGTCGTGGATCGGTGTTTGCCAGGGAGAGCATGCCGGGGTCCGGGGTGGCGTTTGGTTTTTCGGTCGTGGAATTTTCGAAAGCTAAGAACCCAGGTTTCTTCCATCGTAATTTTAAATTTTTATTTGATTTAAGTAAAAAATGTTCAATAATTTTAATTATTCTTTTCCATTAAATTAAAATTGTATCTTATTATGTCCCGGTTCTTATATTAAATAATAAGTTTAATATCTTCTTTTTAATACTCAAATAATATCTAATTCAAACAATTCTCAACAAATAATTATACACAAGTTTAATAAGTTTATTTAAATAAGTTTGTTGGGTTTAGTTTGGGGAGCAAGTGTGATCAAGACAAGCTTGAAAATGGTGAAACACAAAAAGTATTTATATGTTTAGGGAATGGGCGGAAGTAGGTCAGACGAGAAAGTTGTAAAACATAGATAAGAAAATAAATTATTTAAAATAAATGAAAGGAAGTTTAGGGTCAAAGTAAATGTTTGTTTTGAGGGAATGTTTTGAATATTTAAAGTGGGGAATAGATAACAAACATTTACAACATATTTTGGGGCAAAAACATTTGAAAATAATATTTGAAAAATAATTAATAAATTGTCAAATATATGGATCCAACACTCCTTTCCCCTTTAGAAGAATATCCGCCTAATTGGTGAGACCTGTATCCAACACTCCTTTCGCCTTTAGAGAATTGATGTCCATATTTTTTTTTGTTGTTTACATTATCCATCAATTATATTCTCCACAAACATGGGGCTTAAACGAAAACGGTTATCAGCCAATTTTTGGCCTCTCTAACGTTTGAGTTGACCGAAGAGGTGAAAGATACGCAAATTATGCATGTTTATTTCATCTCCATTTGGGGCTCTTTTTATCAGTTCAGTTATTATTATTTCTTCCTCCGCAAAGTTTGCGGGATTTTTACTCTTATACCTATAAAAAAGACAAATTTCCATTTTAAAAACTATTATCGGCCGGCCGAAGGCCGGACGCTCGACAGAAGCGTGACATCTTGGGGGCAACTTTTTACGGCGCATTCAGGAAAAATACGAACTCGGCGCCACGGCTTTTCCTTTGCGCCGAAACGACCCCATGTGATTTGCTATCTCGTGAACTAAAAGTCGGAGCGCTTAGGTCCCGCTGGGAGGGCACTGCTCCTCTATTAGGGGATTAATATAAAAAAAAAATTTTGGAAATCGGTTGAACACCCGGGGAGTTATAGGTGCGCAAACCGAAGTGTCGAATTGGCCAAATGTGGTGCCATTGGAGATTGGCAAAATGTGGAACTGTGGTATCTCGGGAACCACTGGGCGTAATTGAATGGGACCTGAGGGGTTATAGGTAAGTGGCCATGGTGAGTTTAATGGGATTGGCCATTTTGGTGCCACACTCAAGTGTGGCACCGAAATGGCCGGATAAATAATTCAAAGTGTTATAACTCTTTTTTTAGAAGTTGGGGGTTCTTGCGCCTGGGAGTGATGTTGGAGGGTAGAGTGTGGGGAAGTTACAAATAGTTGGACATTTGAGTCTCGGGTGAACTTTTGAGGGTCAAATGGGTCAAATTGTCAAAGTCGAAAAGTCGACTTTTTGTAACGTGAATTGAAACCCGTTTTCAATAGCCAGTTCGAAAGAGCATCCCCTGGCAGTCAGAAAAAGGTATAATATGTAGGGGGTCCACTTGAGTCTCAAAGAGTTATAGCCAATGTGACCAAATGGCGCAAAATTTTATGAGACTCTAACGTCCCGGGGAATTTTTAAAAAATTTTTCTGAGACCGGATATGGACTCAGCTGGTGTCAAAGCCCCATATAGTTCGTTTTTTGACTCAAAAATCAAAAATTTTTTTCCCGACCCCATCCCAAAAGGGGTACCCCTTTTGGGGGATTTTCGCGATTTTTTAAATCGCCATAACTTTTTACCGGATAAAGGAATCTGGATGGGGTTTCTTTTATAAAATAGAATAAAAAATTAGAAATTTTTCGAGCCGAAAAAATCTCGAAAAAATTCGAAATTAGGCACGAGGGGGTCGAATTTCGAAAATTCGAAAATTTTTCGGTTTTTCGAAAAAATTCCGGTATTTTTGCCGGTGGTTCGGGGCGTAGGCATTTTTCCTTGATAGAGCAGATTTTTCTGCATAGAATAAGACTTTAAAATTTTTACAAAAGGTCTACTTTGGGAAAGTTATGATTTTTTGAAAATTTTGACGATTTTTTCGGCCAAAATTTTCGGCGAAAAAAATAAATTTTTCAAAATGGCCATAAATAGGCCAAATGTTATATCATTCGAGAGCCCTTATCGGTGCGAGTTTAAAAATATTTTTTGTGAAATTTTCTTACCATTTTGGCCAAAGTTATGGAGGGTCAAATGTTTGAGTCTGGGGGGTACTTTTGCCGGTGGGGTACCATGGGAACGTTGTTTGATCAAGTATGGCCCATTCAAGCTGTAGAGTATCCTAAAATCATCCTAAAAATATATACTTTGTTGGGGGTCCGCTTGAGTCTGACACAAGTTCTGTGGGTCAGTAATTTCTGAAGTTGTGTGTCACTTCCGAGTGAAGTACAAAGTAAGGGCGACAAATAAAATATAGTATTTTAATGTTGTAGAACGTGTAATAATCCTCTGAAAATCGAAGGTTCACTTGAGTCTGGCCAATTTATGGGTAAAAAAGGATAAAATCTGAGTAAAACCCCTCAAAAATGGGGGCGAGGTCTCGAGTTTAAGAACTATCCTCGAGTCTCGACCTCGAGACCTGTATATTTCGACTCAGCTCTCCGAGCCCGTTTGAACGAGTACCCACATGCCTATACTTGGAGCAACTTTGTACCTTTCGAGCCCTCGAGCTCGAGTCTCGAGCTCGACTCGAGCTCGAGACCTTCACAGATCGATTCAGAATCCCGAGTAGGATTAACATATGCTTTGCCACCTTAGTCTGACCGAGTAATGGTCAAAAATGACCAATATTGTGGAATCAGCCCCTCAAAAATAGGGGCGAGGTCTCGAGTTTGAGAACCAGCCTCGAGTCTCGACCTCGAGACCTGCATATTCCGACTCAGCTCGACGAGCCCGTTTGAACGAGTACCCACATGCCTATACTTGGAGCAACTTTGTAACTTTCGAGCCCTCGAGCTCGAGTCTCGAGCTCGACTCGAGCTCGAGACCTTCACAGATCGATTCAGAATCCCGAGTAGGTCATTTTGGCAAAAAATGTCAAAATGGTAAATTTCAAAATGGTCAGGGCTCAAAATGGTCAAAATCTCAAAATGGTAACTCTGGGGCAGGGGAGTACTATGGGGGGTATGGGACTATATAAGGAGGAGGATATACCCCATATTTCTCATTTCCAGTCATTTTTTCAAATCATTTATTTTTTTAAAAAATATGCTCTCTAAAAAATAAAAAAATATTAAATTTAATTATAAACCCAAAATATTTAATTTATTTATTCTCCCCTCTCTCTCTCTAACCCTCCTCTCTCTCTCTTCTCTCTCTCTCTTCTCTCTCTCTTCTCTCTCTCTCCCTCCTCTCCTTCTTCTTCTTCTTTTTCTCTCTCTCTTTCTTCCTCCCTCCCCATTCTGGGGTTTCTTATAATAAAGAGAGCTTTTCCCTAATCATTATGTGGTTAACCGGAGGAAGCAGGATGCGTGCTTCCGTTTGGTTGGCTAAATCATAATGTCTACTATTGTGTATTAAGTTACCAATAGTCGTAGACATTATGATTTTTTGGTACCTGTACTCAAAAATTTAAAAAATAAAAATTTTCGGGTTATAGTACAGGTACCTCAAAAAGGCCAACCATTCGGATATATGCCGCAGAAGACCTGTGGAGTCTGGTGCTGCATAATGTGTGGGTTTTCATT